AGAGAGTACCATCATCCATTCTTGTTGAAGGTCAGGATCTGCTGCATATGCTCGCAAGCCAGTTACAAGCAATGTCCCACGCTTTATTCCAACCCAAATGCTCTTCATCAACAAGCACTCTCATGACCTCAGCTATTTTCTAGAGATGGGTGAGTATCACTGAGCTGCAGAGCACTCTAATTAAGACGAGGAAAAAAGGAAAAACAGAAAAGCAAACCTGAATGACTATCAGAGGAAAGTAATAAATATAAGTTCATTGTGGCTAAAACAAGTTGCCAGATTAGGTAATAACATGGTTTATTCCCTAGAAATCAACATATGATAAAGCACGTATTATTAAGACTTAGACCTTCTCTGGAAATTCATCAAAGTTACTGTGAGCCTCTTTAAATCTCTGAATTATGTCTTGTATGGACGCCAAGACAAAGACATATTGTTGCTTCAATCGCAGTTCCTTCCCCTGTAATATACAAAATAAAGTGAAAGGGGAAACATACTGAGCAACAAAATGAGAATATATACGAGTCCACCACATAGAGACTAGGTAACTGAGTTGATGACTTTTCTCCAAACTTCTAAGAGAGTACATTTTCTCAGAAACATGCAGATAAAAAAAAGAACAATAATGATGTTTAATGTTTACATGGTGGATAGAAACTGTTGTGAAATTATTGCAAGCGCACAATCCACACAAGTAATATAGAGATAAGTGAAGTGTCATTCCCACGAAGACTTTCATTTCCTTTTAATTACCAATTATGATTAATTCAAAAGTTTGTTTGAACAGTTGATTAAGAAGATTGATTGATTGACCCAAGAGCTTCGACATTATTAAAGGAACTGCTTGGGGGCTCCTCTATCTACATCACATAGGTCTTTTAAGTGTGCTGATAATAAAAGAACTAATATAAAAGCTTAAATGAATTAGATTTTTCACTTGAGGTTGTGAAATTTTTATTTTATTTTTTTTTGTTCTTTGGTGGGTTGGTTTTGTGTTCCTATGCAAGAGGAGGAGGGGACAACTCTTATTATTATTATTATTATTTCTCTCAGCAAACACGAGGCCATGATCAACTGTCAAATTCTATAACAGAAATGCAATATCCAAAGAATGAAAAGCAGTACAACCAAGAAGAACCATCACTCGATGAATATTGAATGCATAAAGATTTATCAAGCTTCAAACAAGAAGAACCAAACCAATCAATCTATTGCTTAACCAAACCAGAAATAATTAGTCAGAATTTGAGATTGGGGCCTAAAAACCGAACCTTGTTATTGGCAAGACCATAGAAACTCCATGATAGGATAGCTTCATCATTTTCCTTCCACTGAAGACAGACACCAAGTTAGCAAATTTTGTATTTTTTTCTTCTGTGCCATGTCGTCAATGCGAAGAGAGAAGAGAATAAGGCAGAGTTTGCAGAGGGAGGAATTGTCGTCGTTGTCGTTGGTGTGGTGAGGTGAACATGTCGTTTGGGAGAGAGCCAAGAGAGAAGAGAATAAGGTGGTAAACAAGGAGAGGAATGGAATTAGATGAATTAAGAGTCTCATGATCTCTTCTTCTATGGACATGACTTGTGCTTCACTGCTTCGGCTTCCCAATCTCAAGCTCAAATTTGCAGCTAAATTTTTTCAATTTCGGGTTTCAAACTTTCAGTCAATCGTAGTGTTCAAAAAATCGGCCTAGGCGGTCGCTAGGACTCGGAGGACAGAAGCCACTGCCTCGGCAGACATTGAGAAAGCACAATCCAATGGAATCAACGCAGCGGCTGAAACCCAAAAAAAAAAATTTGAAGCTTGAGTTGAGAGAGAGGCACAAGACCAAGTCTTTGAAGTTTGGAAGAGCTTATAGAGAAGCGAAATGGCTGTGACTGCGAGTGCAAGCTTCATGTTCGTTTATCTGTCCCTTCATTTCACTCGCGCATCACATTCCTCACGAATATATTTAAAGAGTATAGCCGTGCGGCTATACGTTTAAAATATTCGAATGTATTTGAAGAGTATATCTGTGTTCGAATAGTTTGAAAGGGCGTATAGCCGTGCGCTATGCTGTTAAAATATGCGAATGTATTTGAAGAGTATAGCCGCCCGGCTATACTCTTTAAATAAACAATTTTGTCATACTGTTTTAGGGTTTAGGGCTAAAATACCATTTTAGCCCACTGGGCTAGAGTTATTTCTTCAATTATTTTATTTATACAAGCGATATTAGTGCTCAAAATGCTCGAATAGATTAATTTCTTTTTCATATAATTTTTTAAGAATTCCTAGAATACCATATAAAAGAATGAGAATATATATATATAGTTAAATGTTAAATCTCACGGTTTATTATTTGCATTAACACGTCCTATAGAGTAATGGTTAACGTAACTTACTTCATGCTGGATTTGGTTTTCATCTTATTAAGGTAAAAATTGTTACCCCAGCAAACAATCATAGAGAGATGGGAAAAAAGCTCAGTAACTCCATGCCAAAAATTGTTAAACCTTGGCCTTGCTTTGCCTTCCATTACACGAGGAGATAGTGTGTATTAATAACAATTGGTCTGTTGAATTATTGATCAAGTATTAAATTTGCCGATTGGCAACTTCCCTTTGTATTTTTCTCTTTAATTTCAAAGTACAACGTCAACTTGTTTTTTTTATTATTTTTTTTTATAGTACAAGCAATAGTCTAAAGGGAAGGGAGATTTCTCACACACATACACACACAACTATGAGATCGTGGTTCGAACATGAGACTTCTGGTTTGCAAGGCATTGCCCTTTTCCACTGAGCTAGACCCCGTTGACTTGTATAATAAACAGTAGATATACATATGATTTTCTGCATTTGTTTATAAATGCAAACTACCATTAAACACACACATGTACTAAAGCATAAAACTGCACATGTCTTTATGGGAAGATATTTTCATACCTAAACTACTGTTGCCCCTTCACATACGTCGCAAATTGTAAACCCATGACCTTCACAATATGGACATTTTGCTCCCTCTTCCACCCAATCCAAGAACTGCTGTCATTTAACAAAATAATTAAAACTTCATCCTGGATGGATAATGCTCGAAAATAGAATATTAATATCTCTGTTTGAAACCTCTAACCTGTTCTTCAATGTTTGGCTCGCCTGTTCCATCACATTCTGCAACAAAGAAATACAGATAAGCTACCAAGGGGACTGAGGATAGTTGAAACAAAATATGCAAAAGTGCAAAAATAAAACTAATGGATATCATCATCAAAGCCATTGGTGTTCAACATTATATTTAAAAATCAGATCAAACAAAATAAATATACAAATACATAGTATGGGTGGATTTAGAGTACTTCCGCAAAAGTTTAGCGTAGCAAGGCAATGGTTTATAAACTTGAATATAGTGACTAAGACGGGAGATAGATAGGAGGTACCTGTGCACAATAAGCGACCCTCCCCTCGACAAGTAAGACACCTTCTTGTGGTATTCATTGTCTTGCTTTCACCTCCTATTTTTTCGGTTCCTGCTAAGTCTAGAAGAATCTTCCCAGCGGTTCTCTCCTAGGAGAAAAACACGATGCTCAGATACCTCTACTTCTGTAACACCTTCTTTCACAAATGTTTGCTGGACCTCTGAAATTTCTGTTACAGAAGTAACTGCAGCTCCATTTGTATCTTCCTAAACAACAGAACCCATGCAACCATTAGAAGAATTACGATGTTTCAGCCTATGTAGTGGTTCGCTATAGCTTATACGAACATGATCAGGTTGCTAGCTCAAGGCCAACAAGGAGAAGAAAATCAATTTGACCATTATGTTCAGTTCCAAGTGAGGAATGATATATTGGTACTGAAACTTAAAACATCAACGGCTTCCACTTAATAAAGGCTAATGGTACGTCATCAGAAGGCTATACCTTTTGTGTAGCAGTCAGAGTACTCCCTCTGTTATCCAGACCCTCAATTTGTGCCACCGTATATAATTGTTCAAGAAGTTCTGCAGTCACTATGCCATCTTGAGGGGCGTCTAAGGAGGCCTGTCAAACAAGATATTACAAGTTGACTAACATATATATTTTGCGTTGTGAAATTTTTGTTCAACTTGATGATTCTGAAATTTTACTCTTCATGCATTATACATAGTAACATCTAATGATAATTGAAACTTACTTGCCAAGTCTTGACAGCACGTTCGGTGCCGCTTGAGAAGCTGGAAAACTCCATGTCTTCCTCACCCGAGTAAAATCCTAGTTTTTGCAATGCTTCCTGTCAAATAACAGGGACATTATATTACGAGAAGTCGAAATCACAAATATTACATCCAAAAACGAAGCGAACACTAGAGAAGAACCACACAAACCCAGTTACAGAAAAAGAAAAGAAACAAAAGTTAACAACTTTCTATACTAAAAGGAAAGTTAATACCCCTTGTAAGTTGTAATAAACTGTATGCTGCTCAGTTTTCAATTTGCCAAATTTAAAAGTACCATTTTATAATTCAAAGACAACACTAAATCATAAACAAAACACAAGAAATGAATGATAGACTCCGAAAAATCAAAACTCGCCTTTCAAAAGCAAGCAGACCTGCATAGCTCGGACCTCTTCACCTTCCGACCCCTTCCTCAAAGCATTTCTGCTCTTCTTCTTCTCCTTCACTTCCGGAACGGCAGACACCTCCTCAATCTCCTCCTGAATATGGTCCAATTCTATGGCTCTGGAACTCGACGCTGTCTCAGCTATCTGATTTTTCTCCGTCAAAATCTGCAACAAGCCGGAGATGTTGGCGATGGTCTCGGACTCCGACACTGAAGCCCCTCCTCCTTCCTGGCGATGCTCTAGGGCCTGAATTTTGAGCTTGAGCTCGGCGATTTCTAGCAGGAGCGAGTCGCGGTCACGGGCCCAGCGCTGTTCTTCACGGAGCCAGCGCTGCTCCTCGCGGAGCCATCGCTGCTCTTCGCGGAGCCAGCGGGACTCCTCGCGGTCGTTTTGGGAAGAGGAAGAATTTGAAGAGAAGCAGATGATGCGGGGAGATTTGAAGGATTTGAAAGTGCGGGAAAGTGGAGAGAGAGAGTAACATTGGTGGGGTTTTTTGGGGGCAAATGGAAGTGAAAGAGGAGGAGGAGGAGGAGGAGGAGGAGGAGGAAGAGGAGGGTGAAGAAAGAGAGTGAGAGAGCAAGAAGACATCTAAGAAAAAGAAAACTTAGCTGTAACTTGCAAGAGAGAAATTAAAGAAAGAAAGAAGATGAAGAAGATATGCGTTGAGTGGATATGAATTATGAAGGGTGAAGTTTTCTACTTTGAAACCAGACGCTTGGGTTTGGGCTTTGGGCTTTTGGGCTTTGGGGTTTGGTTAATACAAGCCTCACTCAACTGTCACCGTTTGCACAACCGCCACTACAACGGTCACTTTCCCTCCCCTGCTCTCTCAATCTCTTGGAGAACATCTCCACTAGTCAAAATTTGGCCTTAAATTACACACAAATTATTTATAACTGCTCACTTTTATAATACTACTCCAACAACTAACGTGTATAAATTAGTAAAAGAAAAAAATAATTTATCCAGGATCTACACATGACGTTTGTTCTTTCTTGAAGTTTTGACTTTTGATCTCATTTATTGACATGGTTGATTATTTTTGGTATATAATGACCTTAAGTTTCGATTTTAGGTTTTTTAAACATTTTTTTAGACAATTATATTGGTTGGGGGACGGGATTTTCTCACACACTGTCAATGTGTTATAGATTTTCGAATAACCAGACTTCAAATCTAGAATAAAAGCTATTGATCAATCCAAGGCTAGAATCATGATGTCTAAGTGATTCTACACCCTAGAGTAATTAACAATGTTAATAAAGAGAATAAAAATAGCCAAAACTTGACTCCTAATTTCAAAAATGTCAATTTTTGTAAAATATTTCAAATATAGCCAAAAACTCACCTAAATAGACAAAAATGCCCTCAAATTTAAAATCCACATAAACCTAAAAAGAAACTTTATTAAATAAAACTTTGGAATAATTTTAACCCACGTTTGTATAGAAGAACAGAATTTGATTTATATCATCCTATTTATTGATAAATGAATAAATTTTTTCTCAAAGGGTGATGCCATAAAATTTAAGGGCATTTGTGTCTATTTAGGTGAGCTTTTTGCTATATTTGAAATATTTTACAAAAACTGACAATTTTGAAATTAGAGGTCAAGTTTTGGCTATTTTTGATAAATTCTCATTAATAAATGAGATATGAGCTGAAGAAATTGAGTTAAAATGGATATTTCTCAACACGTCCGTTCTTTCCTATCCAAAAAATATAGGAGCAAGTTTCTCTTGCTATTGGCCATGAGTGAACATGGACTCTTGACATCGGTGATTGCCCTGCCATCATATTGTTACCGCGAACGTGATTGCTAGGTGTTTTTTTGAACGCAATAATATTACAATTACGAAATGATATACTTTTTTCAGTCGACCGATTCAGTATCTCAGTTGTTGTAATAAATGTAATAAAAAATACAAGACTTTGAATAGCCAGTAATTAAATAACTGATGAAAATTTCTATAAATGAGATATGAGCTGAAGAAATTGAGTTAAAATGGATATTTCTCAACACGTCCGTTCTTTCCTATCCAAAAAATATAGTATCAAGTTAACCAAGGTGGTTGGTGTGAGTGGTTCGGCACTCTCATTCCTTAAGAGAGGTCAGGGGTTCGATCCCCGCTCTCGTATGGAGTCATCACTTTGACCAACACTTTACCCCTTATGGGCCGACCCGGTGTGAGCGGGGATTAGTCTGGATTGTGGTTAAGGCTTAAAGGTGCCACCCATAGTTGGGGCCCATCCAGGACCACCTCGTGGTTCAGACCAAAAAAAATATATATATATATATATATACAGGAGCAAGTTTCTCTTGCTATTAGCCATGAGTGAACATGGACTCTTGACATCGGTGATTGCCCTGCCATCATATTGTGACTGCGAACGTGATTGCTAGGTGTTTTTTTGAACGCAAAATGTTACAATTACGAAATGATATACTTTTTTTAGTCGACCTATTCAGTATCTCAGTTGTAATAAAAAAAAACAAGATTTTGAATAGCCAGTAAATAAATAACTGATGAAAATTTCTAAAAACTAAACGAAAGTCCAAGAGAGAAAGAGAGGTAGAGGGACTGATGAGGTTTGGGAGGCGAGTTCCAATACACTGGAGGGCTACTGGCTTCACCAAGACTGAGGGCAAGGCATCTAACCATCTTGGTGGAATATACAAAATAAGGAAAAAGAAGAACAAAGCATGATGCTTCCAGGTTGATAAGCAAAATAAGCCCGTATTTTACAAATTTGAAAAATCGGGAAGAGCACGTACACGTGCAGCGTGCCTCCATGAAAAGAAATTGAATATGAAAGAAAACTGAATGGTTTTTTTATTCAAAACTCAGGAGATACAATACATAAAATGTAAAACTCTAGATTTAAATACACCAAATACATATATCATAGAGAATCTCCTCAAGTCACCCTAATGCTGAGAATAAACCTCATTCAACATACAAGAAATTTCTCGTTCATACCCCTGATGCCCAAACCATGATTTACATTTTTTATAATAAAAAATGAATAATAACCCTTGTGTCTAATAACTAACGTTTCCTTAAAGCCAATTCCCAACTCATGCCATCAGTGTGATAGAGAGCATCTGATTAGCTAGAGAAACCTGTTCAGTATCATCAGATAACAGTATCCCAACAACAATGTTAATCGAGGATACATACAACAAGGCATCTACATAAGACACGTCATAATAGGTTTAGTGGCAACCTGGGCCTCTTCACGGCACTCGGAACATTGAATACGTACCTCCAGTTCATGCTTAGTCCAGCTTGACATTAGAGTACAGTAAGGTATCCCTGGTCACTGGCATATTCAGAAGGAAGCATACCTACATCAAAACAAGGACAACAAAACATGTGAAATATCCTTTTTAACCACTGTCTAACTGTATCACAGGACAACCTCCACAGCCAAAACATAAAATAGCCTCATTTGTACAATCACTCAAAAACATGTATCTGAAAATCTACAGGAGATTCATAACCTACTGGACATCCTAACCAAAATGATTCAAGAAAGCCTTTTTTATTTATTTAAATTCCTTAGTCTGTCAAGCCAGAGCATGTTTCAACTATAATTAGTTTGATTATTTCATCCTTAAACTTGCAATTTTCTTGACCAAAGTCCAAATAGCATATAAAATTTGGATCATGGCCACTGGGTTTTTTTTCTTCTCCTTTCCATGTTTCACTTTTGGTCTTTAATGACAAGTGAATCTTACCCCCAATAGAGTTGAAATGATGAGAATAATTCCAGTGATCCAAGCAAGTGTACGTCTAACCAAAAGCACTTGCACAATCTTTGTATCTTTCGGGACTTCTTTTTCAGCCAACCGACGAGGAGATGGCTGACAAGTAAACATCACATTCAACATCTTCCCTGACTCCACAGGTGCAACTCCATTGAAAAGGATAGCTCCAACAATTTGACCTGCCAAATTATTAATTAACTGTCAACTTTAAAGACAGTGATTATTCAACCAAACTATTAAAAAACGAAAAACAAAAATTATTTAACAATATCAAAGATATGGCAGATATATACATAAAATTGGCTACAATCTTTCAAGGAACAGGAGTTGCTTTAAAAGAACAAGAATTAGCTATGTGCAGATTGTCATGTAACGTCAGGTATTTTCTTCCCCTAGGCATAGGAATGTTGTAAAGCTACAGCCTGCGATCAGATAATAATTACCAAAAAGTTAAAACCAAGATCACCTTTGTATGCATCATTGAGTGAGTCAAATATCTTGGACAGTGTAGCGAGTAGCATCTCCACTCCATGAGCAGCACCTTGAGTTCCATACTGCTCTTGCAAAACCTGTCATAGTGTTATAAAACAAATATTATTAAGCTATGGAATTCAATACAGTTGCGTAATAAGAATAAACAACGACGCATACAGAAAAGAAAGTGCAAACACATTATTTGACTGTGTGGGTGTGGGTGTGCTTGTTTATATGTACTGAATATATGCAACATACGCATTGGGTTTTGATGTACTCTTTTCTTTTTAAGGAGGAACAAAAGGATTTTATTAAATATGATATAAATATCAATACTCAATACAACCAAAACAAACAAGCTGTCCACTAAAAAAGGAAAGACGTCTAACCAACAAGCTGCTACAAACAACATATTAAATATGCGAGGCTGAGTAAGGAAAACTCGATGGCAGAGTCGGCCGAGTCGACTCGGGCATGTCAGCTCTTGATGTGGGCTGGGTTTCGGAGTATCTTAAATTATATCAAAAACATCTAAGCTAACTGAAATCAACTTAACAATGCAGCCTTCCAATCGACAAAAATAAGAGATAATAGTATATCCTGAAATCCAGACGATGTGAAAGCACGATGCCCAAAAGTGAACTCCACCCTACCTACCCTCCACTTCCCCCTCATCCGAAATAATTAAAAAGAATACACATTGCTCTTTTAACTATTCAGGTAAGAGTACATTCTCTTTTTTTTTTTTAATAACTGAGAAACTGTGGCTTGTCATCATACCAAACTTAGTGGTTTCCTGGAATGCCTTCTCTCTGATCAGATAAATACATGGAGTCTTTGTCAGAGGGTATATCTGAAAGTAGTCTACTATTTTTTATGATCCATTTGAAAGTATCACCCTGAACTGGGCCTGGAGGGGGGAATAAAGAGGTAGGAGCGTCGTAGAACTTAGATCTTCTTCCTCCCCCTCCCACCGTACACATAAACATATCCACACACAAAGAATACTCTAGTTAGTTATTACTTTGACACAATCCATGCAGAACACCTACACCTCTGTCTTCCTTATCTTAACTGTTACATTACTAACTAAAAAATACATTATATAAAGCTTCATTTCTATCGACAATAACATTTTCTAGCATCCATTCTAAAATTTGAAGTTACCAAGAATAAAAAGGAAGGAAAAAACACCTTGATTCGATCAAAACGGCCTGTTAATAACTCAGCTGGGCTGTGGATACTGTGAGACAAATCTTGATGCATCTCCATTGCACTTCTAAAGTTGCGGATGAGAGACAGAAGGCTAGTTGTGAATATCCTGTCTGCCTCCTGCAAAGATATGCAATGCAAACCTTGCGATTTAAGTGGCCAAATTTACAACATATATGCATAATATATAATCAAACAAAAGACCATGTAAGACTCAATCTAAGAGAACCTTTGACATATGAAGCTTCAAGTTGTCACCATTGGCCAAAGGGATGCTCAACTCTCCATTTAGTGGTTCCAATGTATCAACAACATATGAACCACCCATCGAAGATGCCTAAAGGAAAAAAAAAATTCAAATTAAGATTAAAACGAGAACTCAAATTCCTTTTCATGTATACAGGGAAAATAACCAAGAATATGGAATAGATAAACAACATGGAAAACAAAATATGATATAGAATAACTTGAAGCCTGACTCACAAAATCGCCAATCTCTTTGACAGTATAATCTGCCAATTGTTCATCCAAAGAAAACACAGAGACTTCACCTTGATCTGCAACAACACACACAATGAATAAAATTCATGTATTTCTAGATGATGAATAGTAATGTTCATGCACTAGTTTAGCTGCTTATACATTTAGAAAAAGTAATATACCTGGAAGCTCAATGTCAGCTTTGTTTGAGCCAAAGTCAATCTTGGCACTATAGGCGCTGCTGAACATGGCGTTATCTTTGACTACAAGACTAGGATCTGCGTGTACAATACATTCATGTTGATAGTCAGTGCACAACATAAAACAATAATGACGAAATAAAAGATTCACAGGTTAGCTTGCATTTTGGAACCAAGTGTATATACCATCAATTCCTCCGACTTCCAGCACAAAAACAGCACGAGGTCTAATGAATGGATTAGGCATGAGAACCTCATTTAACTACCAAAAAGAAATAAGGATATATCATGAATTAGACATTTGAGTAACGAAATGCGAAGTAACTAGATAAAATAACTTCACATCACTTATTATCAAACACCTTAGCTGAACCAGCAGCTGAGAGCGTGGCAGGTGGTGCAAATCCAAGCAAGACCGACACGGCTGCACTGACTTCTGGGAGCAACATTGAGTCAGGCTGCGAAGGTAAAAGCATGTAATATTAACAAACAAATGACGAACAACATCTAAGTATCCTTTATGTACAAAAGAATACTGTTAAACTACATGTGGGTATGCTTAAAATTCGGTACAAAGAAGAACCCAAGAGTCCGTAAAATCATAAATAGATCGACACATTTCTGACCATTTTAGTTCGATTCTACTGAATTTCATAGGCAGAATTAAATTGAAGAATAGAGATAGGTAATTGCGATGCAGAAATGCAGAAGCAATTGCTGGAATTACCTTGACGACATCGTTTGAGGACGGGCTGCGAAGAAATCGATGAGTGGAGCTATCGATGAAGAAGACGGAAGCAGTACCTTCGGCCTGGATCAAAATCGAACAACACAATAATCAGATCGACGACTTGTCATCGCTACAAAAAAAAATATATATATATATATAGAGAGAGAGAGAGAGAGAGAGAGAGAGAGAGAGCAAACCCTAGCTTGCGAGAAGAGAAACAAAGAAATGGTAAGTAGGTAGAAGCAGATACTGCGTGCAAGCAAATCCATGGGAGGACAGAGAGAGAGAGGATCTGATCTGTGGCTGTTGGAGTTGGGAAGAGGACGGAGGGGCGAACTGAAATTTCCTTGGATTATTTTATTTTTACCCAAAAACCGAAAATTTTCAATAGAGAAGCCGCGAGCGACGTCGTTTGGCCTAAAATAAAAATCTAATTTTTATGGATATGAGAAAAGTGAGAGGATTTGAATGTACCTTTTCAAATTGAAAGAGAAATAACAATAAACAAGATTATATATGAATTGACGAAGATATCTTTTTTAGTACACAGGAGAGGGGTTTCTCACACACACACACTACTAAGATGTCATAAGGGTTCAAATTTGAGACCTCTGGTCTGCAAGTCAAGGCCATTTTCCACTAAGCTATACCTCATTGGCACTAAGATATCTGCATACATAAAGAAAAAAAAAACAGTTTCACCGAGATGGACATTCCTCCCAACGAATCTTGTTCTTTCCTAACTAATTTTCGATGAGATAGACCTGTCCCGGCGAATTATGTTCTTTCCCGACAAACATTCGCCAGGTGGACCTGTCCTCTATCTCAAAAGAGAGACCAGCTAGCCACTAGAGAGAGAGAGAGAGAGTCTATCTTACTCAACAATTTCTGATAATTGGTGTGGTGATATAATGCAGTATGAACCTGAAACAAAGAAAGAGACGGCTAAGCATGGCATGGTGAAGACAGAGATATGTAATAATTGGCTGGAGGGGGTGCATATCTGTATAGAAACCATTGGAGCCATTCCATGCCATGCTGTCATTGGAACCAATGGATCCATTACGCATTGCTCGGCTCCATGCCATGTTGCTATATGCACAATAGAGAGGTAGCATGTCCTTCATGTTCCTTAACAAGAAGTTGTCTAAGGAACACAAAAGACATGCTATCTGTCGATTGTGCATTGTATGGCATTGAAACAAGGTAAATTACTTAAACTCTATTTAGTGTTACTTGAATAAGTTTTAAATTTCAAACTTCAACCTCTATTAATTTTAAACTCATTCAGTTATTTACTTGAATGAGTTTAAGTAAATAATTGACTGGAAGGGGTGCATGTCTGTATGGAAACCATTGGAGCCATACCATGCCATATGTCGTCGTTGGAACCATTGGACCCATTATGCATTGCTCGGCTCCATGCCATGCTATTGTATGCACAATCGAGAGGTAGCATGTCCTTCATGTTCCTTAACAACAAGTTGGCTAAGGAACACTAAAGACATTCTACCTTTCGATTGTGCACTGTATGGCATTGAAGCAAGGTAAATTACTTAAACTCTATTTAGCGTTACTTGAATAAGTTTTAAATTTCAAACTTCAACCTCTATTCATTTTAAACTCATTCAGTTATTTACTTGAATGAGTTTAAGTAAATAACTGGCTGGAGGGGGTGCATGTCTGTATGGAAACCATTGGAGCCATTCCATGTCATGTTCGTTGGAACCATTGGAGCCATTATGCATTGCACGGCTCCATGCTGCTGTATGCACAATCGAGAGGTAGCATGTCATTCATGTTCCTTAACAAGAAGTTGGCTAAGGAACACTGAAGACATGTTACCTCTTGATTGTGCCATGTATGGCATTGAAACAAGGTAAATTACTTAAACTCTATTTAGTGTTACTTGAATAAGTTTTAAATTTCAAACTTCAACCTCTATTCATTTTAAACTCATTCAGTTATTTACTTGAATGAGTTTAAGTAAATAACTGGCTGGAGGGGGTGCATGTCTGTATGGAAACCATTGGAGCCATACCATGCCATATGTCGTCGTTGGAACCATTGGACCCATTATGCATTGCTCGGCTCCATGCCATGCTATTGTATGCACAATCGAGAGGTAGCATGTCCTTCATGTTCCTTAACAACAAGTTGGCTAAGGAACACTAAAGACATTCTACCTTTCGATTGTGCACTGTATGGCATTGAAGCAAGGTAAATTACTTAAACTCTATTTAGTGTTACTTGAATAAGTTTTAAATTTCAAACTTCAACCTCTATTCATTTTAAACTCATTCAGTTATTTACTTGAATGAGTTTAAGTAAATAACTGGCTGGAGGGGGTGCATGTCTGTATGGAAACCATTGGAGCCATACCATGCCATATGTCGTCGTTGGAACCATTGGACCCATTATGCATTGCTCGGCTCCATGCCATGCTATTGTATGCACAATCGAGAGGTAGCATGTCCTTCATGTTCCTTAACAACAAGTTGGCTAAGGAACACTAAAGACATTCTACCTTTCGATTGTGCACTGTATGGCATTGAAGCAAGGTAAATTACTTAAACTCTATTTAGTGTTACTTGAATAAGTTTTAAATTTCAAACTTCAACCTCTATTCATTTTAAACTCATTCAGTTATTTACTTGAATGAGTTTAAGTAAATAACTGGCTGGAGGGGGTGCATGTCTGTATGGAAACCATTGGAGCCATTCCATGTCATGTTCGTTGGAACCATTGGAGCCATTATGCATTGCACGGCTCCATGCTGCTGTATGCACAATCGAGAGGTAGCATGTCATTCATGTTCCTTAACAACAAGTTGGCTAAGGAACACTGAAGACATGTTACCTCTCGATTGTGCCCTGTATGGCATTGAAACAAGGTAAATTACTTAAACTGTATTTAGTGTTACTTGAATAAGTTTTAAATTTCAAACTTCAACCTCTATTAATTTTTGTTCTAGGATTCAAAAGGAAGTTTCTTGGAATTCAAGCATCGACTCAACTAGGCTACTAATTGGACTGGTTTCACATGATATGGTATGTATGTGTTCATATTGTATGTACTTATTTGATTAGTTTTCATGTTCAAGTTTTGATTCGATTTATTTTGCACAAGTAGAACTTGGGAGCAGTAACTTATTTTCAATATTAGCCCAGTCAGTGGCAGTGTACAACTGTAGCCCAGTATGGTTTTTTAAGGAAAAAAAAAACTTATATATTTAACTTATTTTCAATATTAGCCCAATCAGTGGCAGTGTACAAATTACCTTATTTCCATTTTCAACATTTAAGTAAATGTCTTTGTCATTTTACTTTTATTTATTTTTATATTACTCCATTGTAAATAAAGAAGTACCCCCCATTTGGATTCAAACAAAAATACTAGAAAATCAAATTCTCACCAAATCAAAATATGAAAAATCGGCTTTAGTGCAAAATACGATTTAGGCTAAAAATGATGGCTCATTAAGTCAATATATACTTCATACTAAAATCCCATAAAATCAAGTTTTCTTATTTGATGTGTGAGGAATAAAAGCCGCCAAAAATTATCTTGAGAAAATGATTATAGTGAAATTGTGTGTTCTTTTAAGGTGACACTAAGTTTACCAACATGGTCATGCACTACGGCATGCATTATCTGCCAATTGTGAAAACACGCAGCTATACTATTTTTTTTATAAAAATAACCATAGTCAAGCCGCATTGCTATACTATTTTTAAAAAATAAAAAAGTATCCCAGTATCGCCGCGCGGCTATACTATTTAGTGGAAAAAAAAGGACCAACATGTCAAAAATAGTATAGCTGCGCAGCTTTAAAAAAAATTAACTCGCGTATAGCGTACAGCTATACTATTTTTAAAATAAAAAATAAAAAATAAAAAAAATACCCGCCTAGCGGTTAAGTGCCCAGGTGTGAAACACGTATAGCCGGGCGGCTATACTATCTTTTTTAAAAAATAACCTGAGTATAGCCGGTCGGCTATACTATTTTTAAAAAAATAACCCGACTATTTATCCCCAAAAAAACCCGCCTAGCCCATAGCCACCATGTGTGAAAACAATTATAGCCGCGCGGCTATAC